GAATTGTAGCAGTAGCATGAGTGGTTGACTCAGAATGGAGTGAACAAGGTGCCAGCAAAGCAAGATGATGGTGGTTCAAGTTCAAAAGGGAAAGTTTACTATTATTTACCAGAAGCTTTGAAGTACCCAGGAAGTTTAGGGCATGTCCACATTCCTTATTTGGGAACTTTTTCCCACAGTACATGAATTATAGCCCCATGTCATACATTTCTAAATGTACTGAAATCATATGACCAGGATGATTTCTTATTGAGAAAAATATATAAAAACATGAATAAATAGGTGTCTTTGCATATATCTCAGGAAAGAAAATAGCTAGTCACATTTTGTGACCACATTGAGAAATATAACAGCATGCTCTATAAAACTGTCCCTAATTTCCTTTTCAGGTCAATTTTCCCACGGTACCAGAAACACTGCCTCTCACTTAGCTTTATTAACAAGAATTGTAGCCCCTTTGCTTAGCTTTACAAATATATATAAATAATGTCACACAGATCATTCCTTATTGAGAAAAACACAAAATACTGAAAAAATTGGACACTTTTTGAAAATAGTCATGTATTTTGACCAATATCTGCATAAGAAAGAAGGCTAGTCAGATGATATAATCACATTTCTGATATTTAATGTTGCTACACTATTGGAGAGGCTGTATTCAGGGTCCAGGATACACTTCCAAATATGGGAATCTGCCCAAATATAGCTAAATTATTGTGTACAAGTTTCTTCACTTTCCAGCTGTTTTCTCTGAGTTGTTTTCTTTTCTGTCTATATTTAGATATGGACCCTGAACACAGCCCCTTCAATATCATGACAACAGCAAATATCATTCCGATTTTTCTTCCCTTTTTTGGCATATTTTGTAATCATGTTATACAATCTATCTGGCTTTGTTCTATTTTTAGAGATGGACCCTGAACCCTGAACACAGCCCATTCATGATCATGGCAATGGTGAATACCATGCTTATTTTTCACTTATTTTGCACTGCTTCTCAACCTATCTGTTTCCATTTTTCAGACAGCTTTCTATATTTGGATATGGACCCTGAACCCTGAACACAGCCTCTCCAACTTACTAAGCAATATTCTGATTTTCTACACATTTTTGGCCAATTTATTTGCCATTTTTCCTGATTTTATGGCTGCTTCTCTCCTTAAGAGAAAAGGTTCCCGCGGTGATGAAAGGTAAATCAATGAATCAATGAAAAATTTGTCTAAGTCCTCAGTTGATAAAGAATGAGTCTTACTCGTAAACTCGTAAGGACTCATAAAAAGAACGAAAATGCAAACTCACCTAGCTCCATGAGACCTTGACCGTTTCGTAAACGGTTTTGGGGAGCGTCTTCACTGAGCGTGGGGGTATCCGAACGAGCCCTCGACCACAGAAAACGAAGCAGATTGAGGTCCTGGGGAGTTGTGAGCATAAGGGCAAAAGAGCGAAAATGGAAACTGACCTAGCTCCACGAGACCTCAACCGTTTCGTAAACGGTTTTGGGGAGCATCTTCA